TGCGCGCTCAGACATCCCGGGGAAACATTAGGCTCGGTTTCGAGCGTGGAAATTCGATAAGGCCGCCTCGTCGCAGTCGGCCAATAATTCTGCGGCGATGCTTTCGCGCAGACTTCCGGCGAGTCCGCGATATATCAGTCCCGAGGGCCCGGGGCGAGCCGGAACCGGAAACCGTCAATCATAGGACTAAGTTAACGCCGAGTCCGCTCTGCCCGCCGCTACAGGGCGGTTGCGAATCCCCGTACCGTCGTACAAACCGTTTTATGGACCCACCTCGACGTTCCCGCCTTGTAACTCAGACCACCCGTTTCACTCCTCCCGAGCCGTCATCTCTCTAAAATATACTTTCGAGAAGCGGGCATCGATTTTTTCATAAATAACCGCCCACCTGGCCGCCCGCCGTCCGGTAAATCTTTCGATCTGCTCTCGCTTCTACCAGCCACCCGTTCGGACCGCTTAATTCCGCGGCGAGGCGCGCGTAGATACAGCGCAAAGCACTTTACGCGACAATGTAGCGGGATTATGTACAGCGAGAGCCTCGAAGGGATCTGACCCACAGCATGTTGGCGGTTTTCAACCCTTTACTCGAGCATTAGCGGATTGTTCTTTCTTGATCGGGAACGAAAGGGAGATGCTATTAATGTGTCCGATAATCATAGCTGCAAAAACGATTATATGAATCTTTGCAATAATACGTTAAAAGAGAACGCGCTTTTTATGCACAAATATGAATATTTTATGATTAATAAAATAGAATAACAATTACGGATTTTAAAAGAAATATATTTCACAAAAAATTGATTGAAAAGTCTATTTTATGAATAGATATTGATTTGGTGCTCCGAGCAACTTTGTTGAGATAGATCTTTCAATTTTGTTGAATTTAATTTGAATTTTCCGTATAATTCTACATCTGCACATAACATTGACAATAACTTCTATCCAATGATGTACGCGAAACAAGAGGATTTAACACATTACGATATTGCGAATACTGAAACAACGCGGTTAAAACGATACGATTAGTATTTTATACGCGGAGATATCTATTTGCGACAAGTAAAAAGGGCAAGCGGGAACGTTGCCAAATCCAGCACCGCGAAGTTTCCAAGTTTCGTCTGGGGACGCGTTTAACGACGTATCGAATAACGTGCGCCGAATAATCATCGAGTTTAGCCCCCGAGTCTTCACCCTGCATAGGTATGACGCGTACCCCCTCCCCCACTCCCCGCCGCCCGCCCACTCTTATAACGGGCGAAATTTTACGGACCGTTTTATGTCCGGTCATTAGCGAGATCGGTGGTGGCCTCCGTTTCTCGCTTTTACGACCAACTCGCGCGCCCGTATCGGCGACCGTTTGGAAAAAATAAAACGCCAACAGCATCGCCGACGCGATTGGCTCTTTCGGATTTTGCGTGCAACCTGAAATTCCGCTCGGCGCAAACTGCGTCAGCTAAAAACTGAAATTGAGTGCGATCTCCGAAAAAAGTACAGCGAAATTTATGCCTTAAGTTATTTGGATATAAAAAATATTCGATATTACAATTTATTGTTTTACATTTGCATTAAATCACTCAGAGTTTATCTTATTTTATTTTACACCTTCACATATTTGCATTATATATTAATATTGGGAAATATTTTTATCACACTCTTATTTTGCGACAACATCCTTGCAGCAATTTTTATCAATTGATACGATTAAAGAATTGATTAATAAAACTTCAAATTTGTTCAAAAGTTTAAGAATGGAAGAAGCGACGACAATCCTCGTTTTGTCATATCAGAATGACGTGTCGTCTGTCAGAAAGGAAAATCTGTCGATCGCCAGCCAGCGACTGATCGCCCGACAACATTCACATTAATTAATCATGATGTAACGAGCGTAGCGATTGTGGCGACGAGAACGGTATTTCCGGGTGAGATGCTCCCCGAATGTTTCCAAGTGCGCTCACGATGAAATATCGCGACGTGTCTCGCATACGTGGCCATTATGCAGATTCCGGGAGTCGTAATAACGACAGCTCGGATCGACGGCGCATTTTTATTCCGCGCGTCTCCTTTTGCTCTTTTGCTCTTTTTTTTCTCGTTTTTTTTTCACCGCATCTCCGCCGTGTGACGAGCAACCGGCTCGTCACGAATCCCGTATTTTTTCGACGTGAGTTACGAGCCGATGCGAACAGTGGTTAAAACGGGCCGAACTCTAATTCTCCCCGGACGTTAACAGCCGCGAAAGGATAGCCACGTACAGACCGTGGCGCGCGTGATACAAGGATGGCACGGGTACATCTATAATTCATGTAATCAATTGGCGAAACGAACGTAACTTAGCCGCGGTTTAAGCGTTCAGCTTTTACGAGCGAGTTTGCGAGAAAAAACGTGGACTCGTTGAGAAAAGAGCGCCGGTGCCGGAGTCTTTGGGACGGGCGCATCCGCATTTTCCACACCGTAGTTTTCAAGAATTCCGTGTGCATTCTGGAAACTCTTGCAGCATCAAAGTCTTCAAGTTATAAAGTTTTCAAGTCGCTTGCATAATCTTGGTAACTTATTCGCTATTATACGGTAAATAGGGAAAAGATTAATATGTGCAGGAAAATGGACACTCGAAACATACAATTGAATATTGATATTGCTTAATGGAGGATTAAAATTGTGCAGAGAAAGTGCTTTCGTTATTTATCTTTTGTCAGTATTGTGAAATTAAAGTTTGAATAAATAATGATTTAGTCGATGGATACATAATTTATGAATCGTTCGCCGGAACGATATATCGTAAAAATGGCATTTTTAAACGACCTGTTAGTGATAGGCGATCGAACGTTCTCAAGTTGTTTCGTCGGAAGCTCGTATAAACCGTGCGATCGTGAAAATTCTGAGCACTTGAAGAATGTAATGGAAGTTTAATAAGTTTTGGTAACATGATCGAAGGATTAAGAGTCTCTAGCAGGCGCGATTTTCTTTAAAAATTTATACAATTGTTTGCTATATAGTCGTCGGCCTCTAATTAACGTTAATCAACTTATTTATCGGTTTTTGTATCCGTGTGTACAGCAAGAAACAACATAATCGATCTTGGAACGCGTTACTTAGTCACCTTGGAAGTTTTGCCGATGGTCCGTAAAGAGCGGGTTGAAATAATGTACCATGACACGGTGGTGGTTGTAGATGCCCGACCCCATCGCATGCTGCGAGAGCGAGAAAGAGCGAGCGAGAGCGCGGCTACTCCACCTTCGTCGGCCAAAACGCTCGCGTCCTACACTTAAAGCGTAATACCTCTGGAGTATATAACACGGTCTGCTAGCATAAACTTTATGATGATGAGGGAGGATCGGGCGGAGTCTTCGAAGTCCTGCGGCCAACCTTCTTAACAGCACCTCGTAGCGTCGGTATTCAATACTCCTTCTCGAAGCGCGATTTTTACATCGCTACCGTGCGATAAACAGAAGGTATGCAGCGATTATCGCGGCGACGGTATCAGGATTTGCGAAGATATTTCGGAGTATCGCATACGGCTGCAGAGAGAAAGTTTAGTTCCCATACGCATTCGTGTATCGCAAAACTTGATGAAAGTTCTATGTCGATATGCCACAAATGTGTAAGATTATATATAAAAAGTTTTTGCTAATATAGTTTTTTAAATATCCGATTACACGCTAATGAGAGGAAGTTTAATTAAGAACTTGATTCATATTAAATTACTATTGTTAGAGTTCTCAGATGTTATGAGAATTGATAAAATTTTGAAATATATTTCTTTGCTTTCTTTTACTTTGTCAGTATTTTATCGAATTGATTAGATTTTAGTATTATCTGCTCTATTAAGTCATCTTGTGCAAACTCTTTGCGAATCGATCAAAGGTATTGTTGCTATTAGACCTTAACAGATCAATGATTATTTGCCGAAGTGCACAATCTTGTTAACCGATGAAATTACAGTGAAATCCTCTGTAGGGAAGGAATCAACGCCCCTCGTCATCCCCTTTCAGGAGATGTTTATACTCGCAGGGGCGCTTTCGCGTTAATCCCGACAATTTCGACGCGCAATTCCGGTGAGAACGAATTCGACCGCCATTGTTCCATGTTGCTAGTGCAAAAAAAAGAGATATCCGCATTTGCATGAAAATATCCGTGGCTTCGGCAGACCGTGCGCACCCTCGTCGGATGAATTCCCGGCGTGGCGTTCGAGCGGGACACCCTTACAATACCGCAAATTTCGCGCGTGAAGGGTTGATACTTGACAAGAGGAAGGAGTTGGATGAGGGGTCGACCTATACGTATATATATATATATATAGCATATATATATACACGTATATATACATTGTAATGTTGCCGTTTCATGGGCCTAAAGAACGGGCAAAACGCAACAACAATTTCCTTAATCCGATAGATAAGAGCTACCGAGCACCGAAATCTCCCCGAGTGGTATAGGCTAGATTTTAAGAATTATAACTAATTCACGTGAATTTTACTATGTGTTGGCGCCTCATCGAGCTACCGGGAAGATCAACGAGCAGAAACGAGGCCACGGCAGAGCAGGGCAGAGGACATTGGCGAAACGAAGTAACACAAGGCAAAATAACGGTGGATTCCGGGTCTGGACGGAGCGAGGGGGAGCCGCTATGAACGAGCGTAGGAAGAAGCCCGCCCGGGGAGCTAGGCAGGGCCAAGGATCCGAAGGGATCGGAGCCAGAAAACAGGAGTCACCAGAGAATCCCGACTGTACCGGCCGCCGAGAGGAGCGGATGACGAAATAGCGGCCCCCGATAGCCCACGTGGACCCGGGACACCGTAGGACCAAGAACAAATGAGGCAAATGATAGCCGAATATGAATTTGGCGCCGGCTGACGGAGCTCCGGGATCGAGCGCCACTGACGGGCGCCTAAGATCACGCGGGTGAGGACGCACGCTAATTGGTCGCGCGACCAGCGTCGCGAGCGCGGAAACGGCCGAGCCGCCTAATTTTCGACCCGTGATTGATCGCGATCCATGGCTCGTCCTGTTGCATTCCGGCTGTCGTTAAGTAAAGCGCGAGTGTTACCGCCTGCCATGAGCCGAGCGAGAGATAGCGAGAGAGACACAGAGCGAGAGAGAGAGCGAGAGAGCGAGAAGCTGCGTCAGGCGAGCAGAATATCGGTGAGATTGCTGATACATTATTCTTGTTGCAAATTGGGAATTTCGCGAGAATTCCATGGCGTCGCGAGGTCGTTCGCTCGGTATTTAGTGTCTTGCGTCTAGTGTGCCCTTCTGAGTCAAAGGTCGCGACGGATAAGCTAACGTCGTCGGCCACACGTTTTAATGAATTCTTGCCGTGAATTTTGTTGTTTCGGTGAGGCTTTCGAGCTTCCGGGAAATTAGACCGAGCGAGCGTACCCGCGAGAGCAAAGTACCGCGTTCGTAAGTAGGGATTGTGAGTGTAACGTGCTTGAGACACCGGGGAGATCGCCGTGAGCGCAATCAACTGTTTGTGCCGTCCGTGTGTAGCATGAGTGCGAGAGAGATAGCGCGCGACAATTGTACCGCGCGTTGTAACTGTCGTAGCGTGTGTGACCGCCATTTTGTGTAAATGTAATTCCGTATTGTGCTGTCCGTCTCGTTCGCGTTATAAATTCGCGTCCGCGTCTGTGAGCCGTATTCGGTAAAATCCGGTTTTGTTAGCTATTAAGTAAGGCCGCGTCGGCCTATCGCGTATCCGTGCTCTGTAGTCCCGCGAACTTATGCGTTTTGCGTGTCAGATCCGAACCTATTAATGTTATTTTCTTTTACATTTTGAACAGCTTCACTTATTGTAAGGTATCGTAGGTTAATTTTGCTCGAGATCCGCCGCTAAGTGTCGGCTTAGTATTCCGGTTTTGTTTGAGTGATCTATTCGAGCCGTTTCGAACTGTATCGCATTGCTCGGCGACAGACAGTAAATTCTATATTTTCGTTCATCCCCCATTTCAATTCATTTCATTGAGTTCAATCCAAGTTTTCTACTTACTCGAGCGAATTATACTATTGCAAACTCGATAAGAATATGCATTGACATTACACGCAGTGTATTAGTGCTTTGCAAATTATAAAGTGGACGCGCCGTGTATTATAACGCGCCGTGTATATCTATGCTCGTATCTGTGCACATACTATAAAAAATATATAAAATAACTGTAAATTTACTTAGGAAATATATTTCATTACAATAATCGAAATTAATTTTATCTGCAGGTTGTAAATTTATCCATCTGTGTGACAGTTTATACTTATAATATTTGGTTATGCGTATGGCATAAGAGTTAGCATCTGTCTAATTATTATTCAAGGAATACAATTGTATTTATATTATTAATATTATAATAATGTTATTACTATTAAGTTGTATGTTATAATTCTGTTTTAATAGATTTACTTGTGTTTTACAGATAAATTTTTCTGCGTCGTTGAATCGTCATTCGTTTCGCGTAATTCCGCCGTAATTTTGTTTCGTCGGGAGTGCCGTTAATGCCGGAAGTGCCGTGATGGTTTTGCATGAAACGCGTACGAAACGCCGTATTTTAAACGATGCATTTTCGCCAAATGCTACGATAAATATCAGGACACGATCGAACCGCTTTCAAGGGGGGCTTTCTTCTCGACTTTTCGGCTCGGGGGAGGCGAGGATCGGTTTTTATCATGGGAGGGGCCCTTCAGTGTCAGACATGCCAACATGTGATGCATGATGCATGATTCATGTTACTTTTTGTATGCTCAAAAAAGCATGCTGTCACTACTGCATGATAGTAACATTTAAATCATATGATCCACGGCATAGAAGTCAGCATGTTTTGACTTGAGTTCCGTTGGTATTGGCACCGAAATGCTACTGATATCCGGTTGACTCCATGACTAATCGCACTTTATTTCCTTCGAGCTTATGCCTTCTGTTTTGAGATAATCGTGTCCCAATTGATAAATGCAGTCGTCTTAAAAGCGGACGTAACTCGCGCGTAACGTTGCAACTTGGGCAGTTCGGTTCGATTCGCCTGCGGGAGTGCCGTTTAAAGTGTCGCGCGATTTTCGGCACGCGCGCTAACAATGCGCGCATCGCGAACGCGTGTGAGTTCGAAAGTCCGCTGGGAGCAGAAGGAGGAGGAGGAGGAGGGAGGGAGGGACGGCATCGGGCGGTAGCAGAACGACGATACGGTAAGTAACTTATCGCAAAAAATGCAGACTTCTTCAGCGATGATGAAAGGGCTTTAATATGAGTGTAGAATTATGTATAAGCTAGATTTTTTATTCATTTAAAATTATTTATTTTGGTAACGTAAAAATCTCTATTTAAATGAAGATGTAAAATATAAATATAAGACAAGTATGGAAAAATAATAATATAAGAAAATAACACATTTCAAATAGATATCCGCGAAACCTGATAATTTGAATTTTTAATCCTTGCTTTTCCCTTGATTCAATCTTATATATTTATATATTTGTCTAGCTTATATATACAATCTTAATAATTAATGTCTACAAATAATCTGAATTTAGGCAATTTTTATTCTTGCTAATATTTAACTGAATAATGAAAAATTCAAGCGGGAGTCGAATTTTTCGCATAAATAATATTTTCGAAGAACCCGGCGAGGCTATTTGTAAAAATTTCATTCGCATAGGAAGACGGCACAACTTTCTTTTCGCCGGAATCATTATGCATTCGGAGAGTTTTGAAATAAATAAGGCGCGCGGCGGATTCGTATCGTGCTTCTAAGTGTTCCCCTAAGCGCATTCATTTTGGAGGCTAAACTTTTCGATGCATTTTAATTAGGAACCGCCTTCTTAACGCCTGTTAAAGGATTACTCGAGCAACGACGAGCTGGGAAGATTGCACGGTCGGGTAGCTGTTTTTAAGCTTGTCTTTACTCTGTCTTTGACGTCGAACGGGGCTAAAAGCTTCCGCGATGTAGATACTTCGATTTTATAGACCAGGTATGCATAATAGAAAAGGTTATTGGTAAAAGTGGCGCCAGTCACGGCCGTGCACTTTTCGCTGCGCGATACTTTATTCACGTCGGCGATCTGCTTGCCAGTTTTTCCGGCGCTTTAATGGTGTCGTCAAAATCGCTTCACTCACCCGTCAATTTCGAATCCGCGTTATGTCTACTTTTCACAGCGATTTTTAAGCTCAGAAAACTGTATGGATTTAATCGGTCGCAAAGTGTGGTTCTATAATTAATGACAAAGTTGTGTATGAATTAATATTAATTAATAAATTAAAGCAATTAAATTAAAGAATCACATCAATTAATTTAAATTATAAAATAATGAGTTGCATTAGAATATTTTGCATCACGATGCATTTTATCGATTTCTTTACTAATTCTAAGACTTCAATATTTGTCGCAATATTTTGAATTTATTAGTAAGACAAACAAACTCTTCTTTCTTTTAAATACGTAACAATTTTTCTATGTCACGATTTTTGCATTTATTTTATAGCTCGTTACGCGAGATATTAAGAGCGATTGTAACGAAATGCATTGATGTCGCGAGGAGGAGACACAAAAGCCAGTCGTTCCTTATCGTTAATCATCCGAGACGTGTTTGAGTGGATGTTTGTAGCGTTCCGCAAAACGAGGTCAATTATGTAAAAATTGTTTTGCGTGTCTCGAAGACACTGTATATTTGACGTCAGGTTGACGCCTTCTATATTATATCGATCATCAGTTCAGCCGGCCACTGCAATGCAGTCGGCAATGCCGCTCAGCTTTTGCAAGCTTCTCTCTTTCTCTCCCTCCTCCTTTTTCTTTCTCTTCAATTTGCATTCTACAATTCCACTACTGACAGATATTCACGTACCTATTTACATTTCTTCCGTTACTCTCGTCGCTATCATTCCTTAGTCTCTGTCCCATCGCGGCTTTCCACTGCAGCTTCACAAAAAGCTCTCTCTGAAATATTTCAGTTTACATTTATTCGTTCAAGTTATTTATATTGAAATATAATTACGAGTCATTTGCGCGGATCTTAGCGACACTGTAAATTGTGACGTCATTTTCAGATCGAAAAGCGGAAAGGTTTCTTTTTACAGAGTGTTTTAATTTTATACAATAAGCAAATAAAATTATAATTTTCGAAAATTGATTTTCTTACACTATAACTTATCTATTACGTTATTCGCTATTTTTTCACAATAATTATTAATTTTTTTTTTTTAAATTAATTGTTAGCACTGAACACAATTAGCTGAACATAGTTTCATATAATTAATTACTAATTAAAAATTATTGCATATTTTTATAGTAATGAAAGACAATCTCGTTTGTTTATTTTTGTTGTAATTTTATTTTTTTACGTGTTTGCATATATATCAGAATCACAACTGCGCGAAACAAGCTATCGTTTTACGTAGATTCGATTTACACGTCGATGTAACGAGGAAGAATTAATTACGCTAATGAACTGGTAGTACCCGTTATTCGCGATTAATCATACTGCGTGTATAGAACTGACATAATGCGGTAGATGAAGTAGAAACTTGCCGCGTTGGGCAGCCATTGGCAGGCGCCTGTTGCCATGATCGCTCATCATGCGCCCAAATATCGAGGCAAACCCATCAAGGGGGGATTCCAGCTGCATTATTATACTATCCAAGTTTCTCCCTGCTTGCGAACCGGAGAACAACCAACAGAGATTACTAGATATTGGGATGAATTGAATGCTTCAAAGATTCCAAGATTCAAAGCTCTATAGATCTAAAATAATTTTATTCTGGAAATTGTTCCAAAATTAAAAAAATGAGAAACTGAATTTACGCGTTATTAGTGAAATGTGAGGCTTTGAGTTTTTAAAATTTTAAAGAAGATTCTAAATATAAAAGTATATTTTTTTTGGAATATCGTAGAAATTCAAAGATTCTCTCCTTTATTTAACTAAAAGTTAAAAATCGTAGAATTAGAAAAGAATGAGATTGAAAAATTTGAGTTTACAAAAATAGAAATTCCGATCTATCTTTAATTCTATTTTTAAAAGCTCCAAGACTGCAAAAATTTCCAAATTTTCTCAAGCCAGAAAGTATAGCTTCCACTTTAAAAAGTCAAAGCTTGAATGCATTTCGATTATATCGCAAGCTAGAAATCCTTCACGGTAGCGCTTTTCTAGACACACTCGTGTTGGATAGAGCCACTCGGCATAAACTGTCTGTCGGCAGAGATTGAACCCGAGGGAGACGGAAAGGAAAGGTAGACAAACAATCGACCTTCTGGACATCTTCGCGATAGTGTTTCGTGTTGAAGGGTCGGGTATATCTACTTGCAAGATCGTTTGCACGGGAAAACGCCGGTAGTTGATGTTAATTCACGGAGTCAATCCGGGCGAACCGTCAGGCCCATTAGTCGCGCAGCCTAGCGAACCGTTTCCACTCCGGCATGGAAATGGTCTGTTTACAGGATCACGGCTGACGGCGTTTAATTTAGCAGTCTACAACGAGCAAAGACGATCGTCGAATCGGGATCTCATCGTCAAAGTAGTAGAATCCGTCGAAGGATTGAAATGAGACAGAGAGAGAGAGAGAGATAGATAGATACGTAGCGCGTAATCGCCACGTTAAAATCCGCCGTGAAGCTCCTCGAGGATCTTGCGGGCTCGTCCAAGGATTACCGCTCGTCCTACGGAATTTTTTTGCCGCCTCCGCTTAAGCTCCCCCGAAGCGCGGGAGGATTATTTAACGGAGATTACGCCGACCGTGTAATGAAGGTCATTTTGCGATTAGCCCCCTTTCTTTTAGCCGCGGGTCGTCGCGGGTTGTGCAATATTTATTTGCTTCACGTTACGCGAGAGAGCACGCCGTTAAATTTATGAAGAGTGTTACGAACTTTTCGTACTCTGCCGCTATATACGTCTCGCGCATGTGAAAGTTACATGCGCAGCATGGTGGAGCGGAAAAGCTCCGGGACACCATTCGCTTGGTAATTAAATTTAATTAATTAACTCGAAACTCTAGGCTGTGACCATGATCCGCTTTTCCGCGAACATTAAACACTCTCTTCCCGAGTATTTAATATTCGCGAAAAAGTTTACATAGGCACCTATATAAAGTTACGTTGATCCGCGAATGTTATTCACGGTTATGATTACAAGTTTGAATTGTATGTGTGAGGCCATTATTAAATTAAATACTAAGTGTGAAGCACGTTTTTCCGCTACTACCAAATGTTGGCTGTGTTAACATTTTATTATCTTCATTGTACACAGAATAAATTTGTATTTGATCCTTTCATTTTAGCAAATTGTCTGCGGCTTCGTCGTTTCATTACTTATTTGTTCTTCTAAAATTTACTTTTCCAAAATCTGGTCATTTTTAATATGAAATATTTTTGTAAAATTGGACCTCAATTTTTATTTTAATAAACTAAACATTAGATTTAAAATTAAATAAAAATAATATTGCTTTGTCATCGCCGTAGGGTAAAGTGTTCTATTACCGGGTACTATTTATATTTGTTTAAATTTTGATCGGAATTGTTAGAAATTTTGAAAAAATATTATCATACTTTGAGCAAAAAGGGTTCCTAATTCCGGGTAGATAATGAATAGGAAGTAAAATAAACTTTTAACGCAATTAATTCTGCTTAAAAAGAATGCGTTGCTAAAAAATTGAATTACAAGCTTAAAAAGAACGGGAGTTCATTACATTGTACGCGAAACACTATTTTTGTAAACTAAATTAAAACATATTTCGAATGTGAAATAGAAAATCAACAACTTTAAAAAAAGACAGCAAATTTAAGTAATAGAAACATTTAAAATTTAACTGCAATAAAAGAATTAACGTAATTATAAGTAAAATACTACCCGACATCGAGCAATCTACTACTATCTGAAATTAGGAGCAAACACCTGTCTGCTAGTTAGCCAACATCACCTAACTTTGAATGGCGGAGGTATTTTTCAAATAACACATAAAAACAGCATACTTCAAATTTATTTTCTGACATAAAGATTATTAAGATATCATTAACCACCCGATATTCGGACACTTTACTCTATAACTTTTTTGGAACGTGTGCATAATTATCTTCGATACAGCGCGTGACTAATCGAGTTTGCACAGTCGATGTTGTCGAAAATCAGAACAAATGCTTTCCCTAAATAGAGCCGTGCGCTGATTAGTTCGTTCGGATTTACGAAGCGGAAGTAGCTCGCGATTCTCCGAGTAGAAATCGGCGAACGAGACGTTCCCATTGTCGTCGCTGTTCCATCAGCGAGCTCTATCAAAGTGAGTTCCTTGCATCTGCACGCCTGGCGGAATATGCGAAGCACTTGATGACATGCATGAAACCCTCGCGTGCTTCTCAATCTCATCGTGGCGCGCCTCAAGAAACGTCTCGGCTCGGCGTGGCGCCGCGCTACGTCGCGCCGCGCCGGGACGTCGTCGTTCTGAGTGAACTATAGCTGGATGCAAATCAAGCAATCCCGGGGTAATCAGATCTGGGTTTATTATGGCCTACCAATTCCGTGGTAAGCATCACGGAGCTTTAAGCGCCCAGGAGAAGATTGGTAGAGCGAGTAAACGAGATCTCTCTTCGAGTTCGGCTCCGTCCGCATCGTCTCTCTCCTCCTCGCAATTCGCGCGCGCGAGCTTTTGTCTTCTCGTCACGTTAAAAGCTTTTACCGTGTCATGGGATTCCCCGTTACCACAATTTGATCCACGAAGCTGCGAATTACTGCGTATTCGTCGATTCTGTCTGTCGATCATATCTGTAAGAAAAAAAAACAAGATAAATTAGTCATAGAAAAATTCTTTAAAACAATTTGAAGATATTGTGGTCTTTTCTTCGTTTTCAAATTAATTGACATTCGATAATTCGCAATTTAAACAATGAAGACTTTAAAATTATAAATAATTATTATATTTCTCTACGAAATAAAACATTTTTACCGACTTACTAACTTTTCAATCGATAATATGGCAACAGAAAGTATATTTTAGTAAAATAATTTTTATTTTAATTTCTACCCCAGCGATTTACATTGATTATCTTTCCAATCGTCTATTGTTGCTGCTCCGCAGAAAAAGTGACGCTTCAGAATTGCGTCGTACATAGAGGCAGATGTCCCGATGATAGTCATTAAGTGCGTAGACGAGAGTTAGATCGACGCCGCGTTTCGGCGCGATTGTTTCAACGACCGCTTGCTTCGAGAGATCCAATCGATATCTTCACGGCACCGAGTCTGTAATTAGTTCTGATCGTAGCGCATGAGGATACGGTCTCGGTTGACTAGAACGATTTCGAGGAAGTGGTGATGCACCTTCGTCATAGATCCGACGTGATCGTACGATGAACGAGTATCCAACAGTACGCGGAGATGACTGGAAAAGGTAGAATGCGTGAGAGTGCGTTAAAGCCGACAAATGGGATTCGACGTACGTAAGTGAGGTTCTCCGAGCGGGTAACGTGGCTATTAAGCAGCCACCTAGATTAACTAGACTGGATCCGCTGATAAAAATCATCAAAGCGGCATTGCGGCGAGCCTTCATTTCCGATCATCTGGACGCACGCCTTATTACGCCTCTCCATTTACCAGAAGGCTCGATTTATTTCTTCTAATGATAAGTTGAGATTTTTATTAATTGCACTTGCGCTATATAAAGTTTATTCCGACATTACGCGAATTATACTGTTTGGAAAGTCTGAAATAAAGTAAAGCAAACGTTTGTTAATTATCATTATATTAGTTTTTTAAAATGATGAGTTTCGTAAACTATGCGAATTATGAAATGCATCAATTGCATACACGAATCTTTTGTACTGAATTCTGTTAAAAATATTTTATAAAAATATTTTAAAAGTAAAATTAGAGCGGATTGAATTGGCGTCATAACGATCGGAGTATTGGCTTCCATTGGAAGCGATACATACGTAAGGGAGTTAAGCTATGCTCCACGAAGTTGTCAGTAGCTGAAGTGAACTGGCTAGTTCCGAGCTAACGGCTAATGAAGCGACGCGGCAAAACGAATGCGTCGAGCGCGGGTTTGCGGCGGATTCCACGACGACCGACGGCGAGCACCGCGTCGAGAGCCCCCTCGACTCGAATAATAACGCTTCTCGAACGCGACGTATATACGCGCTTCCTTACGGGGGGACGATCTCCAATTAGAGCAACTCCACCGCGGAGAATCGCTAACGAGCTTTGACCGAGAAACCGGGCTATATCGATTACGCGGAAGCTTCAGGTGATTTATGAGTAGCGCATCCGGCGTCGAAATTTTACGTCGTTGTTACACCAAGCAGCTTTTACTTTGCTATTCCGCCCTCACTTTGTATCTGAGATGTTTACTTAGTTATCGTTTCGTTAAAGAGAACTTGCATAAATGCTTGATCAAATTGTATCATTACTTATTCGTTTTCAGAGAACATGCATGTAAAATGTAAGACTAGTCAATCTAGATCATTCGGTGAATTATTTTTCTATTTTGAAAAGATAAAGTACAATTAATTCCCACCTGACAGAGATTTAATATATGTCAAAACTATTGTTTCTAACATTTTAGCTCATGTTTTATGTGAATAATTTTCTGAAAAAATATTTAAGGCTGTGATTAACAAAATTTGCATAAATTCTATTTTGAGTGCTTTCGCGTAATCAGCTTGATGAAGCGTGCAATTAAATTCGTGAAGACGTTCTACGTATGCAATGAGAAAGAGAAAAAGCAGAAATGTTTAAAAAAAAAACAGAGGGTGCGAAAAAAGATGTATTCGAAGAAGAAGATACATCGATGACGACATACGACAAGGTTGTACTAGCATGACGGAATCGGCGGGGACCACCAACCTTGTTCTCTGCTTATGCCCGACGGGCTCTCGCGGGTTTGCTCTTGTAATATCTTATTACACGATCACTGCGTGCTTCGACGATGTATGCGGCCATAATGTGCATATAGGGTGTTCCAAAAGAAACGCATGTCAGTTACAGAAGTAAACAGTCTAACAAAACTTTCTCCTCCAAGCGTTTCTCTTTAATTTAAAAAAAAAATCTAATATTATGACTAAATGTATTAGACTTTTTTTAGTGCTTGAACTATTTTTAATAATTCTAATAATAGAATGTAATTGTGATATTTTAATAAGAATTTTTATATCAGGATAAAACAATTTTTTCAATGACATTAACAATTTAAAGATTTAAACATTCGGCACTTCTCTCCGTTGCATAAAAATAATACAAAATAAGAAAAATATTAAACTATGTAGATTTGACGCAATTAAAAATTAGGAAACTAAAGAATACAATTTTTTTATTCTTTCATGAAATTGTTAAATATACAAAATATTTTAAATCAAAAATTAAGGAAAATTAGAGAAGAAATATCACTTCTGTACAGATTTTAGTCTTTTTTCACAAGTACAAAAATTACATTAAAATATTAAAAATGCAGAATCGAGTGCGCGAGTGAAGATGTTTGTCGATTATCGAGGCTGCATATATTACCTTTCTATAGGCGGATCGGCGTGTATCGTTGCCGCGAGTCTGCGATCGGCTATATGTTATGTCCGCGTGTGCGGAAGACCACCGGCGCTCCGTATGAAGTTATTATCTGCGTCTTGATCCTGCCACAACGACGACGCATGTACGCACGCCTCAGAGGAGGCCCGGCGCAAAGCGTGTCGGTTCTCCCTCCTTCAATGAGTCCTCTTCGCGCAAAGGGAAAGAGAAAGAGGCGTGGGCAGCCCTTAAAGTCACGTACTAGACTAGCCGCGATTGCCGGCATTAATATCTTATTACGGGATTATCGATGTGGGGTTTCGTATGCGGACGATCCGCGTTTACTTGGGGGGCGGCGCGGGAATCCGTAGAAAGAGACTCGTACGACGTGCAGATTCGTGTCGTGGATCGCTTCGGGCTCAACGGTATTAGCATTGTGTAATCGACTGCCTGTCTAGCTTCGTATTGTCAGGAAAATCCGACTATGATCATATTATTATATTATTATTATCGATATCTTTAGACTGACATAAACGATGTCACGCTTGGGTTTTGAAAATAGAACTGTAAATATGATATAGTGATGTAGTACGAATTATACGCGACAATGAAAATTTGTAATAGATTTTTTTCAATTTTATAGTATTAGTTGCATTGATCTTATGTTTAAAAATGGTTTAAATATACCCTTTGCTTAACCCTCAAAACGGACTGTCGTTTTCCGTCAACATAAATGAGACTCATGAATTCGGGTCTACTTTTCCTGCGCCTTGTTAAGTAATGTGCTCAAAAACGCAAGTTTATTAAAGTGTTAATTAAATGTTCAAATTATAAAATTAGATAACAGTGTATTTTGAATACTTTATTTTTATTGTTCTTTGAGGAATAAAATTTCAGATAGTTAACATCACTTGGACATTTTTGACCCATGAGTGTTTTGAGGATTAAGAATAAATTGATTTTCGTGATAGTTTCAAGGATGTTCAAACAAGTTTTGCCATTCAGTGAAACTTTATGTGATAACATTATTGCAGTACAAGAAACATTTATTGAAAAAAATATGTTTTGCGTAAATATTTATATGCTAAATTTCGCGGACCATGTGAATTATTTTAGGTATCGAAATGCATCGATTTGTTTGTCAAACAGTGTATTTCAATTTTAAAGAAGTATCAGATTCTCTGTTTATATGATCAGAAAAATCCAACAGTCCGTGATAATATTATCACATCAATATCCGGATATTAGAACAATGAATGCTATTCCGCAACTTGGAAAAATATGTTTGCATCGAATAATCAATTATCTGACTTGGTCCTATTGTTATCATCTAACAATGTGCAGTGATTGTATCATAACTGATATCTTGCAGCTAAAACAATCAGCATCATTATAAAAGAAGGATATATAAATAGGTGATTGCTCGATGCATGCGCGTTATTTATAGAATAATATTTTCAAATCAGTTTTTCCAAAATTTTTATATACACTTTTGTTCCATCAGGATGAGCAAAATCATCGTATTATACACATCGATGCCTTAAAACAAAAACATTTGATAAAATCTTTTTCCGATACAAAGAAAATTAATATATGCTACAGCTGAAGCATTAATGCCATTATTTTATTGAATGTAAAAATCTCTCTTTTGCCGATGCGAATTATCAGATTGTATTTTATTGTGTGGACGATATTACATCACGGTGGATATTTTTAACTTTCTATCAGAAAGTGAAATGGCTCGAAGTATACTTAAAGATTGAGGTGACGTCGCTCTTTACGATGATAGTATTAAATCTCTGAATGACACCGCTCGACCCCGAAAACGCCGCCGCGATGAAGGTTGTTGATCACTGTGAGAACCTCTGCGGAGGATGCGACGCGTCGTGGCGGACGGCTCGATGGATGGACGGAGCCTCGCTCGCTTCGCTCACTCGCCCAGCTCGAAGGGTATTATTAGGACCGGGCTCGAACGTAATGACTTAATACTACGAGGCTCTGTTAGTTGCCCTATGCTGGATAACGTCTACCTATGTGCCCGCAACGATTTCGAGTTCGTTCGCAGTAACTCTGCTGAGAAATGGAATCGCATGCGAATACGATATGCCACTACTGTTTGCAAAAAACGATTGAAAAGATAAAAGGAAGAATAAGAGATGGGTAAAAAACGCAGGAAGTAAAAGAGGAAAAAAAAAAGAAAATTTAATCAAATTTGCGACAATTAGATTAATGAACATGGCGAACATATACGTCAAGCTGATTACATCGTGATAATGGCGTAAAATATCTCATTTACTTAACAGCTATACTCGGTGCCGGTAATACTTGCCACACGGAAAGGGATTTTCGCGAGCCCGAAATTCCTCGTGAAAGAAATCGTCGCCTATTTCCCGGAGTGGGCAGCCCCATATATCTCGCCCGCGCGAAATACTTAAAGTTCGGCATTAAAGCGAGACGTTAATTTCGCCCGCGGAAAACTGGGTTAAACGCCCGTCCTTTTTCCCGGCTAGAGCGGCTCGTTGTGCAAGTTGGGGGTTGCGAGCCGAGTACTTTAGCACGAAGACGGTTTAGAAGGTGCTCTTTCTCTCCCCTTTGCCAAGTCGTCCTTCTCAGCGCTTCTCGCACCGCTCTCTTCGTGTCCCTCGGGGCGCACTGCTCGTCATCCTGTAAATCTGCTGCCGCTCGAGAGAGAGAGGGAGAGAGGGAGAGAGAGAAGAAAGAGAAAGAGAGCGGCCCTCCATTCTCGACAGCCGAAGGTACCGCGAAGTACCTTTCGGTCCTGTATTTTTTCTGCCGTCCATTCCTTCCCCCGCGCGTTTTTCATCCGCATTTATTTTTGTTTTCATCCTCGCGCACTCTCGTTTCTCTCGCGCGGCTGCTCGAGGAATGAAAATGTTGGGAATCGGGAGATAGACGATCCTATTCCTCCGGGGCCTTGCGTGCGTGGAGATCGATTCCCCCTCGTCCTCTCGCGAAAGCCGCGCAACAACCGTATGCATACGAGTGTACAGGGTGCTCTAAAAAAAGCTATTCTAGAGTCAATAATCACGAATTCTACGAATTTTTCTTCATTTCTTAATAAACATTTGATGGTTAGCAGATATTTAATTTCGCGAATTATAATCTTCCAGCAAACAAGATAAATTTAATTCTTTATGTTTAAATTGTACCGTGATTACAAATATTTGTCGTGCAGAATAGAAAAATTGCTACGCATAGTAGATTAAAGTTTTTGTTCAAAGAATCGGCATTAATTTATTAATGCTATTAATTCAAGAATTTTTAAGCCTCCATGAGTTTCTTTTTTCTTTTGCATTCTCTCTTTTTTTCTTCTCTCCTATTCTTTTCCCTTTTCCACGTTGCTTTTTATTGCATTCTCTTTCTTGTATATACGTTCTTACACTGATTTGTTTTTCGCTCTTGCTTTTAAGTCGTACGTTGTTTTTCGCGTTCGACGCTGCACTTGTCGGATAACGATGGGAAGATTATAACTCGCGGAATTAGCGATTATTCCTCGGTATTTCTTCATGGTCATTTCTTACTTGCATCGTTATGCATCTTGCCGCTATCAAAAGTTTGAACTGCGGAGCGAACGTGATATCCGGGAAATTCTGGCAAGTTAAGATTATATTCAGCAGTTAAAATCAGAAGTTTTAATGAATAGTAATTGATTTTTTAGCAAAACTTTTGTGGAAGGTTTAATCTCGATATGTTGAACGCTGCAATTTTTTAAATGGCAAAAATAACTGTTTATACAAATTTTGTTGAGAAAAGATTGATTTTGCATTTGATATTTCGTTTATGGAAACAAAAATGGAGCATAAAATTATTCAAAAATGATTTATCTAATATTATTCGATTATTAATTTAAATAACTGCATTCTTAGATGCATTACACTAGATCGATTCTTTCCTCGAGAATTTCTTTGAGAATCGCGGGAAAATCCGCTCTTAATCTTTTCTCGACCTTTTTTCTTCCGTAATCTTCTCGGTTTTTTTCTTTTTTCTCGTTCTCGGAGCCACACGATTCGAGTTCTCGTACGCGAATAATTGCACCTTTTCCTTTTGTTTTGCGCGGACGTTCGATTAACGGCCGGTTAGGCTCGTGTGTTTTACGAAGGATTTGCAGCGGGCGCGGGAGGACGAGGGGAGCGGGGCTTCGATGTTCCTCGCTTGATCTTAATTGCACGTGCATTAATTGATGCGCGACAGGCGCGTACGCGGGCCGCAGGTGCGCACATAAATTTCTTCCGGATGCTCTCGCAGCTTCCTGCATGTTTCCGCTTGTTGGACCGGAAAGGGAGAGGCTACATTTGTCGAATGTTGCGATTACATTGTGCGGAAATAAATGGATATTATCGATATTATATATCGAGGAATATTTTCAATTCAGATGACTGGATGACTATTTACATAATTTGATTTATTTTTGCGAGGATTTATTGTATTATAAATTGATATTTTATCTCAATGGAAAATAGAATTAAATTTTGAGTGCGTTGATTATTGGACAAGATTCGTGAAATTTTTTCCATTGTTTATCTTGGTTTTTAATTGTGATGTTACATTTATATATATTTTTATTTATAGAATTGAGTGAAAATTGTTCTATTCTAAAATCGTGTTATAAATTTTTGATTTTATTTTCTTTCTCTTTACGTAACAGTTGATTTGCTTGCATAACCATAACTTATTGTGTTGAGCAATTAATTCTAAGTCAGACCAAAATAGACGAACAGAAGTATAATTTGGCCAATTAAAACCCGACTGTTGATGGTCCATAAATATGCTGCACTCGGCCACCCCTTCCGCCTTCCTTTACGACTTTCTTTTCATGATGCACGTCGGGAATAATTCATCGACACGAGCGTGCGAGGTGTTGGGCAATTATTTTAATTGCATCCTGCTTGTTCTAACACTAACGATGGAATTATTGCTAGTTTTACTGAGCAGTACGAAAAAATTGTGAGCTAATTTCTTGCTGTTAATCTCTCCGCGTTATACAATCGATCTGACGGGGAATAAAACATTTCTGTAATCAGCAATATTTCAGTTTGAATTATTAAATCTTCGAAGGTTACAGTTGTTTTTGTGTTAGAACATTAAGGCAGAATCAGAATTTTGCGTTGAACATTGGGGCTTGAACAATTTCCTCAAATTTATGTAGGACAAAGCCGCTTAGCGCGAGAAAGTTAAGAGAGCATTCCAACGCTGAATCGGTTCCCCAGTGTAAA